TTACAGCAACAACGGAATCTGCACCGTTTGCAGGTCCTGCGGGGTTTGCCATTACAGTCAAGGAAGAAGTATAAGAAGATACGGTAAGAGGGGCAAGGTTAGTTACAATTGCAGCTCTGGAACCAGGGGGCAGAGGAAGAGGATTGGCCGCTTGGGCTTGTCACAACGCAGCAACCTCTACCATCAAGTCATGGTACTCGCCAGTCATCTTAGTCAGATCCTCCTGAAGTGTCCGCAATTTTGCAAAGACGTCGGCGATCTGAGTGGTATGATCTTCAAGGCTCCGGACTTTGACGATAGCGGTGAGTATGGATTGCAGCTGTTCCCCACACTACTCTTTGGTCAGCGAGGGGACAATTTCCAAGATGGCCTCCTGACTTTTCAGCAGCAATTCCTTCCTCTCCTTCTCTGTCTCTTGTTCCCTTTTGATGACACTATCTAGAAGTGCTTGCAGATACGGTTTCTCCGCATCGCTGGCTGCATCTAACAGGCCTTCCACTGGACTGAGGTTAGCCGTGGCTGGGCCATTTTCGGACCATTATCGTCGTCAGGTGGATCGGAGAGACGCCAATCTGCAAAAGAATCAATCAGACTCTCAAGAGGTACACTCCCCTTTTCGCTTGGACGAACACTCCGTTTCCCAGTCCTTGCCCACCTCCTAGCCGGAGCGACATTTCATTTAGACTTAGAGAGCAGCAAACCAAAGAAAAGCAAACAAATTCACATGAGAGGTCTGATCCAGCGACCCAGTCTGATCAACTGCATATGAGGTCCTCTCGAGTCCAGTCTGACCAGCTCCGTGACCGTGCAACAAATTAGACAACGAGTGACTAAATGCAACAATGGAGAATTGAGTGGTGTACAGGGTGTGAGTCAAGCCACGGACGGTGCAACCAAAAGCATGCGAAACGTCTCAGTCGAGATCCCCTCGACAGTGGGTGTCCTAATCCAAGAAGAATGGACTCTGTATCTCAGTCAGGAAGACAATGGACTAATGCCTAACAGATTTGGGTCCAAAGGGCTCTTCTTGTTTGGGCCCGGTCCCACTGGGTCCTAGAGGTCCCACGTAGGCCGCGACCAGGTCCCAACCAAGAGGAGTCCCACATAGACTCAACCGCACCGAAAAACGAATTTCAACTTTCGGCTGAACCTATAGACTACAACCGTTCAGAGATGAAAAGACAAAGCACTGTAGAAAGAATCGACATTCAAATCAAGATACTTCGTTTCTCCATCCATCAGGTGAGTAGGTAGATCACACACATTCAATCACACAATCAAGACCACAGAGGAGTAGGAAAAGAACCTAGAGTAACCCCAGCAGGACAATCCATACCATGCACACATACATGGGCATCCCGTAGGTGCACGACACTTACCTGAGTGGCCTTGAGCTTCGAGATGAATAGAACTCACCTCCCTCTCATGTGATCCTCCTGACCCCTCTAACGCTACCCCTACACTAGTGTCCTATCTCCTAGGAGGGTCTGACTCCAACACCAAAGTGCAACGCCGGATCCCATGTCGATGCTGAAGAACAAAGTAGCAACTTGCAGTCCGTAGATGCTGAGTGGCCGCTGACCCTCAAGCTCGCCTACTTGAGGGCAGCCCTTAAGTTGCCAAGTGTCTCCCTTGAATCAGATTCCAGGTGAGAGTGCCTCTCACTGTCGCCTCTCTTAAATTGCCGCATGAAGTCTCCTCGAAAATGTCTCGCCACCCCAATCTTACTCTCAAGCAACCTGGTTAGGTTCAATGTCGACCCCACATGACCTAACCAGTTGGGGGCAGCTTCCCTTAGCCACGCTGCCCTACTTCCCTTACATCCAACCCTAACCCTAAGTGTTGCCCTCAACCACTTAGGTTAGGGTTAGGGCAGGAAAGTCAACTGTCACCAGCAAGTAGAATCCGCTCTGATACCACTGTTATGATCCTGACCAATTTCGAGATACACATCCATCAGATGGTACAATGCCGCCCAATTGCAAAAAGAACTGAATGAACTTGAGAGGAGAGAGAGGATAAGAAGAAGAAGAAGTAAGAAAAAAGAAGAAGATCATGTACAACAGCATAGACAGGTGACAAGGCTCTTTTACTTCGCCCAACAATCTCCTCCTGATCCAGAATCAATGTCCGAGTTCTTCTTCTGCCAGCATCACTTGAGGTCCACCATAGCCATGGCCGCCTCTTCTTGTCTTCACTCTCATAGGCCAAGTCTATGGTGGACTACTAGGCCTTGCCCAGATGCCCAAAGGACAACCCAAAGCAGCTATGGCTGCTCCATCTCAGTCCGCCATGCCCGACTCTGCCTCGAAGCTTCTTGGTGTAGCTCTCCCCAGTTGGGGACTCCCTGCTGCAGCGCCCACCAAGGTGATGAAGATGGCTGCCACCATAGCCAGGTAAGTACCCCTTGTGCTCCTCCCCCGTCCTGTCCTTCTTCCTCCTCCGTGTCCTTCTCCTTCCTCCAGCAGCGTTGCTCCGGATAGCACTGCTCCAACCGGCGCTCCAACCGGTGTGTCGCCAAACTTGCACACCAAGAACGAGGCCAAGCTCTTCGCCCGGCTGGGAGATAAAGCGGCCTGCTTGCCTCTTTGGGCGGTGACTTCCAGGCCGCTCGGCCTTCCAAGCAACCGGTACCTCCTCCCTTTTGGAGAGAAACATCATTACAGACTCTGATATTGCCCGTACAGGCCCTAGATCCAGACTGGTTGGACTGGTACCCGCCTAGACCTAACCTACAACCATTGGCCTCTAAAAATGCCACTTTTGTCTTCTTCTGCTTAGCCTCCAGTACCCGCACATCTACCTCTTCAAGGTGCGGTACCGGCCTACCCGCTACTTGAGTGTTTTTCCCGCTGCAATCCCTCAATGTCACGGCCACAGGTAAGTACCGGCCCTGAGGGCCCAATGAACGAGCAAGTGCCCTTGTGGGCCACACACACACTCGAGTTTACCAGCACTGAGACAGGCACGGCCACACACACACTCAAGCCAACCAACACTCAGACAAACATGCAGTCCAGCAAGCGTGCACACACAGACTTAGTAGTAGGCAGGAAACTCAGCAAGGCATTCAGTCTATGGGCAAAACTCATAAATCAGCCATGCGTTTCAGTCCATGTTTGGACGGGTCATCACACCTCCTCCCTTTCGGAGGGAAACATGATTGCAGACTCTGATATTGCCCGTACAGGGAACCGGGCCCAGCGTCCCATATCGAATTGTACAGATCATTGAGAACATTTGAGATCATTTGAGATACCGGGGCCATTACCCGGCTTTGGCTGAGAACAGTCTGTGAATATGATGTGATTCAGAAAGCATGGGGAGGATCATGCATAACTAATGACCTATTAATGAACTACTCATGCAATAGGTTGCCACAGAGATCCTATGAATGCTCACAACCCTCAGGATCCCTAACAAACCCTTCTAAGACTTTCCAACACAGTCTTACTCCCTGCTGAGCTCTTCCAGGCCTCACGCCCCCACCCTGTTGGGTTACAGGGCAACACAACTCGCCCCGGCTCCGACCAGCGTCGTCCCAGCAGCAACCCTTGGTTGTCCCTTGGGATGCCCACCCCAGAGCATCCCCAGATCTCTCTACCAGGCCTCACGCTCCTGCATCAGCAGGTTACAGGGCAACACCCCAGCATCGACCAACGTTGTTCTCGCTTCGAACAGCCGCAGATCATTGAGTATAACAGCATCGAAACCGCCTAAGATGGGTTGCTAAGAATCCCTAAAGTCCTGAGACATTCGTAAGAACAACCGACTGTTTTTCCACTATTCAGACTCTACCAAGTCACTAGAATATGTGTGTCAAAAAGCCTCCCAACCACGAATCAGATAGGTGTAACCTATTCAATCCACCTACGACCACCACCAACATGGCTGTTTTCAGCATGAACCGAAGCTCTTCCAGGCCTCATGCTCCCATCAGGTTAGGTTACAGAGTTGCACCACCTTGCTCCAGCACTGGCCAGCATTGCTCCAGTTACGACCCTCGATGACCACTGAGATTGCCCCTGCAAACAGCCCCCCAGAGCTCTCTACCAGGCTTCACGCCCCCACTAAGCTAGGTCACAGAGTTGCGCCACCTGGCTCCGTCTCCGGCCAGCGTTGCTCCAGCATCGGTCTTCGAGGGCCACCGAATTTTCGACCACCCTTCGCAGGATCACAGATGAATTGCCAGATAGCACCTATTCCTACAACCTCCTCAAGAGGCAAACCAAATGGAAAGAAATAGTAAGTTGGATGATAGACTTCTTCGAGAGAGATCGCCCTCCCTCCCCCTACCCCTCCCCCCTCAGCCCTACACTGCCCCCGCCGAGGAGAGTCACTCAGTCACCCACTCTCCCTTGGCCCCAATGTAGGAGCAACCCTACCCCCTTTTACCCAGGAGCACACAGTTCCCACCTAAAGCATGCCCCCCCGCCCCTTGCCCGTTTTTGCTTTCGCAGGGACTGATGTTGACCCACGCACCAGCCCCCGCCCCAGAATAGGGCAACCCCCTACTCCGCCCCTACCCTCTTTGAGACATTCACCCCCCACCTTGTGATGCCCCTGTAAGATAGAGCTCCCCCCACCCCCTTCCTACCGTTCACCCTTCGGGGAACGATCCGATCCAGCCAACTACAGTTATTGAAGACACACAAACCCCAACCCCCCACCCGCACAAAAATAAATTCATTTGTGCGCCCAAGGGGGAGTCGGAAATTAATAGTGGAGAAAAAAGGAAAAACAAAGAACTTAAGAAATAAGATTCCTAAAATATGAATGGAAGAATCGGAAATTTCTGAAACTTACAATGGAGAAAAGGTAGATGAGATTTTTTGGATTTTGCTGATGACGATGAACAACACCCTGAAGATGATGATGATGAGTACGATGGTGACGACCAACTCACCTGCTGATTGAAAACAAACTGATGATGATGATGATAACGGTGAGGATGAAGACATAATGATGATGCTGATCATACTAAAGAGCAGCACCAACAGCCCCTAAGATTACAAACTGATGATGATGATGATGATGATGATGATGATGATGGTGAGGTCGGTAATGATGATGATGATGATGCTGATGATGCTGATGCTGATGATGATGATGATGAGGATGAGGATGACGCACAGCGCCCTGTGATGACTACACGATGATGATGGTGCTGATGACAAGCACCTTTGATGATAACCTAATGATGATGATGATGATGATAGAGATGAGCAGCGCCCTATGATGACAAGCTTTGCCAACCGCGCCCTATGATGGTGAAATATTGATGTTGGTAATACAACGATGAGTGACGAGCAGTGCCCCTGATGAACGGCTCCTTGATAATGATGATGATACGAGTGCCGAGCAGGAGTGAAGACGTACGCCTTGATGATGATGACGAGCAGTACCCTGATGATGATGATGGTGATGACGAGCAGCACCCTGATGATGATGACAAACTATTACCGTGATGATGACGTCGATCCACGCCCTGTTGATGATGATGGTGACGAGCAGCACCCTAATGATGATGACGAAACATTACTGTGATGATGGTGTCGAACCGCAGCCTATTGATGATGGTGCTGGTGGTGATCAATGCCCCGTTGCTGATGACGAGCAGCGCCCTGATTATGCTACACATCTACCTCCTCATGATTGTAGTTGCCACTGCACTCGCACTTCAGTTTACCAGGGCTGACTCCACTGTACTCCACAGGCATCGACATAGCCAACGCCTCTCAGGCCATATGCCACGTGCAAAAACGCAGCGGCAATGGAGTGAAACGTGGAACTCCCAGATGAAGAAAAACGGGAGTCAGTCCAACCGCCACATCAGCTTGTGACGTGGCGTGGACAAGCGCCTTCGGTCACTTGCGCGTGCGCAAAGCGCCTGGTTTACAGAAGAGATGGCCACCATCACCACCGAGCGCCGTCACCATGGCCCACCTGTGCGATGCCGCAACCCCGGGCGGAGCGCAGCGCTCCCGGTAGCGCCACGCCCCGCCTAAAATCATTGATCTTAATTCTACTCCTTAAAATTATTTCCATTTCAATTTTTGTTTCAGTCTTCTAGTCACCATTGATCTTAATTCATCTTTTCATAATTTAGACACCTTTTCTCCTCAAGTCTCAGTTCATAAAAGTTCTCGTTACTAGCTTTTATTCTCCTCCTGGTGCATCGATGGTTTTTTTTTCTGATGGAGGGAGGGTTGGTCGTGAGCGGGAGAGCTCCACTCTGCAGGGGTGTTACAAGGTGGGAAGTGAAGCCCTGGAGGGGGTGCGGGCAGATTCAAGGGGTTGCTCTTTTTGGGGCTGGGCTGTATGTTGCGATGAACCTCGCAAGACTCAACTCAAAATACAACATGCAATTGAGAACATTAAGATGACGTTCAAACAAGCTTGAGCGATGTCCATGAACAGTGCAAATTCGAAGTTCCACTCAAAGCCCAATAATATATACTTGAAAAAGTTCGGGAATAAGCGGTTTCAACCGCTGCAACACTCCTCAGGTATCCCTCCTCCTCCTCCTTCTTTTCTCTCTCGTTCGTTCTCTCTCTCTATAATCTGTTTCTCTCTCTCTTTCACTTGTACTGTTCCTCGCTCACTGTTCCTCATTCACTGTTCCTCTCTCTACAATGTCCCAGATCTACCCTGAATGCCTCTGCGGCGTGTCTCACTGCAAACGGGCGGTTACGGCTGCCAAACACTTTGTCTCCTCCCCCTCGCTATGGTGGTCTGTTGCGGCCAGGGTGCTGGTCTTCTTCCTCCCTTCAGCATTCTTCTTCTTCGTCCAGGTCGCTAGTCTGCACAAGCTCCTAGCAGCGCTTCCACAAATTTGCGAAATGAACAACTGACTGCCTCCGACACTATAGCCCAAGATATATAGTTGTAGTGGACTGTTTCGTGCCTGCTTCAATTCGTGCTGGCCTCCTCCAGCCTCCGCCTTGCCAGTTGCTATTTTGGGAAATTTCCCGACTTTCTTGTGAGGCTGCTGCAAAATTTTACTTTTGGGGACTTGACGTGCTCCTACCGGTACTGTACGGTATTGTAGACTACCGACCTACGGTATCTGATCCTACAAGCCCTAAGACTCTTAACAATTGGGGCCTGGACTATGGCAATTAGGGACCCTAGAACCGGGACTGGGAAAGCTTACTGCGTGAATCCATTCACTCCCGCCGGCCTAATTTCGAGGTCCTCGGAGAAAAATCAGAACTTCAACGGTTACATATGTTCAATTCTCGGTGTGCCCGCTCATATTATGACACGATCTGAGGGGCTATCTGAACTAACTCATGCCTGGTGAACCAGCGATCTTCGCGGGATCCTGATAAGCAAATATGACCTTGTATTGTCTCTGCGGTCTCCCTCTACGACCTGTACGGAAGGTATCCTCAACTACAATCTTCTCTACATCATATCTTTCGTCCATATCAGGTGGAATCATAGATCTGCGTGAGGGGAATGCATCATTAGTCACACAGGGAAGGAGCTTAGAAGCGTGTAAAACGGGATAGGTGTGCAGATGGGGTGGAATCTCAATCGTGTATGACGGTCCATCTGCGTCACCTTTGACATCTAGCACTTGCCACGGCCCTCTGTAGGCAGGTAGCAACTTCTGCAAAATCCCTTCCTCGGGAATAAACTCCTTACACTTGACCCAGACATTCCTCGGGAATAAACTCCCCAGACAAGATCACCTATCGCAAACTGTGACGGACAGCGGTGCTTGTTCGCGTGTTCCATCATTTGATGTTGGGACTTCCTGATGTTCTCAGCCACATGTTGCAAATCCTTCTCATACTGAATGGCAAACTCATGTGTGCCAGGTGGCAACCTTTGGATCTGATCCCGATTCATACAGTCTATGGGACGTCGGGGACTCCAACCTCTATGCAGTTCATTCGGTGTCTGTGAGGTAGCTAGGTGAACCGAGTTATTATATGCACAAGCTACTTTGGGAAGATGCTCATCCCAATCTACCTGGTCTGGTCTTATATACATACATAGTACTTGTTGTAGGACCTTGTTCATTTGCTCAGTCTGGCCATTCGTCTCAGGGTGGCGTCCAGATGACATAGCTAACTTGGATCCGTAGACCTTCATTAACTGCTGCCACTGTTCCCCTGTAAACTGGGTATCTCGGTCACTAACTATGCTCAACGGGTGACCGTAATCCTTGACCCAATGATTAAAGAACTCTTTGATGACCAGATCTGTCTTTGCTTCAGCAGGTAATGGTACAAAAACGGCAAACTTACTAAACCTGTCAACTATGACCATGACTTGACTCTTCCCACTACTACTCTTGACCTTAGTGTCCATAAAATCGATAGATAGAGATTCACTGGGGCCGGATGGAATAGGCAGGGGCTTCAACAGTCCAAGGGGAGGCTGCGTGGAACTCTTGTTCCTCTGACAGACTTGGCAGCCTTGGATGTAGGTGATGCAATCATGCTTCATGCCTGGCATGTGTAGGATCTAAGTAGGGTAGCATAGGTCTTCCGTCAACCAAAGTGGCCTTCAGTATCGTGGCATTCCCCTAGGATTAGACTGCGTACCTCTTCACTACACAGTATGCAAAGCCTATCATGCACATCAGTCTTCTCAAACAGCAATCCATCGGCCATTCTGAAATCAGGCACTTCTTGAGGTGTGGTCTGCACCTTCTTTATCAACGTACTATACAGGGGGTCATCAACATATGCAACCTTAATCTTTTGCTGCAGACCTGTGCCAGCATCCAGGTAAGTCACAATTGCACCAAAGAAATCTGCACGTCTACTCAATGCATCAGCGACGCCATTGTACTTACCCTTGACTGGTTTCAACTCAAGATCAAACTGATCATTTTCCCCAACCCACCTAGTCAACTTAGGAGTCATCCGGGTCTGGGTCTTCAACCAACACAAAGTCTCATGATCCGAATATACCTTGAAGTGTCGCCCAAGCAGGTAATGCCGCCAATGGTCCAGCGCCTGTCGAAGGGCGAAGAGCTCACGCTCATAAGTCGAGCCTGCTACCTTATCACTAGGGAGCCTACAAGACATAAACTCAACGGGCCTGTACCCCTCTCCAACGTTCTGCTGGAGAACAACGCCAATGCCATACTGACTGGCATCGGTAGTCACAACAAACGGTAAGGATGGATCTGCTACTTTGAGGACGGGGTACTCGATGAGGGAGTTCTTCAACTTCGTGAAGGCTGATGTACAGTCCTTGTCCCAATTCCAAACGGTTTCCTTCCGCAGCAGCCTGCGCAAGGGAGCAGCAATGGAAGTGAAGTTGCGAACGAACTTCCGATAGTAGTTGGCCAATCCTAAGAATGCCCGCAACTCAGTCAGCGTGTGCGGGGTTGGCCAGTCATGAATTGCTGCTATCTTGGTGTCCTCCGGTCTAACTCCATCTCCATCTACCACGTGTCCCGAATACAGGACTTGGCGTTTAGCCCACTCACACTTCTTCGGATTGATCTTGAAGTTACACTCATGCAACTTAGTCAAGATCTGACGCAGACGAGTCTGATGCTTTTCCAGACTCTTGCTAAAAATCATAATATCATCTAAATAAACAACAACAAATTTGTCCAACCAATCTCTAAACAAATTATTCATGCATCTTTGGAATGTTGCAGGGGCATTAGTCAATCCGAATGGCATCACTACAAACTCGTAGTGTCCACAGCGAGTCCTAAAGACCGTCAGCATTGCTTGAAATGACCTTATGGTTTTCTTATAAATTGAGGTGAAAAATGGGGGGTCGGTTAACCGGCTCTCTCCGATTGTACCTCAATCTGGTGGTACCCGGACTTCATATCAATCTTGGAGAAATACTTACATCCCTGCACCCTGTCGAACAAATCATCAATCCAGGGCAACGGTTCAGCATTCTTAATCGTGATAGCATTCAATCCCCGGTAATCAATGCACAATCGCAGTTCACCCTCTTTCTTTGGCACAAACAAAACCTGTGCATCGTATGGTGATGAACTGGGCTTTACCCACCCCTTCTCAATCAACTCATCTAGCTGCCTGCGCAGTTCATCAAGTTCCTTGGGAGACATCCTATAAACCGGGCCCCTGGGAATCTTGCTACCGGGTTCTATCTCAATCTGGTGCTTGATCTCTCGCTCTACCACTCC